AGTCTTTAGTAAGTCAGCTCTAACTTTGGAGGGACTTATGACTTGAGAGATGGAACTCACGGGGGAAACATGACTCAGGTAAGCATGGGTCACGTGCCGGAGTGAGGCAGGCCTGTGGGGTTGGCAAACTGACAGATCTGTGGCTTTTTTGTTTTAGGCTGCTGCAACACAGTAGACCTGGTGTGGATGAACATTCTGACATTTCCATAGATGTTGAGACTCAGAGATACTGGGTCAAATTTTTTTTTTTTAACTCACCGAGTCAACACTGCTTCAAATTCTGCTCCAAGAGCCCTGGTTTGGAGAGGAGCGAAGGGTGGGCATGAGGGTGAGTGAGCCCATGCAGGAGAACCCTGCCTTGGAGATGGGTGAAGGATGGGGGAGGGTGAGCCCATGCAGGAGAACCCTGCCTTGGAGATGGGTGAATGATTTGGGGGGGGGTGAGCCCATGCAGGAAGGGAAGATTAGGTCTGATGTAGGACCTTGATACTGTTTAGCCTGTTCTCAATATGGTCCTCAGGTGGTTGTGGCCCACTGTTATCTCTTGTCTGTCCTCCCATTCCTCCAAACAAATCCTAGCCTTAATCACTTTGGTGCCAGGGCCTGAGGCTGAAGCAACAGGACACATTCTAGGGCCTCTGATTCTTAATTGGGAGGAATTTTCACTTCAGCCTTGGAGTGTTGGTTTTCTGGAATGTTCTACTCAGGAGCAGATTTGTCAGTGGAACTTGGCTTGATTGCTACATTTAAGCCCAACTGCCAAAGCTTTCTTTTCTACCTACTTATAAGCCCATTTCTCTGTTGCATTTTCTTTCTGATTCTTGTCTTTCCTTCAGACTGTGTTCTGAGCTCTGAGGCCAGGCTGTATGGATTTTCTTTTAACTCCACAGTGCTGAACAGACCTCTGTTTTAGAAATTCCCATCTGAATTTTGTTTTTCAAGACAGGGTTTCTCTGTGTATCCCTGCTCATCCTGAAACTAGCTGTATAGACCAGGCTAGTCTTGAACTCACAGAGATCTGCCTGCCTCTACCTACCGAGTGCTGGGATTAAAGGCGTTCACCACCAATGCCTGGCCCCAGCTGAAATTTTAAAGTCCTTTTTTTGTTCTTGTTGGGTTTTGGTTTTTGTTTTGTTTTGAGACAAGGTCTCACTCTGTAGCCTTGGCTGGCCTAGAATTTGCTGTGTAGACCAGGGTAGTCTTGAACTCACATAGAGATCCTCTTGCCTCTGCCTCCCCAAGTGCTAGAGCTAAAAAGGTATGTGCCACAAGACTCAGCAGTTCCATTTTCTTAAAAACAACAAAGTCTGGCAGTTGTAGGTATTCATTAAACATTATTTAAGTTTTCATCTTTCTTTTTTAAAATAATTTTTATTTTTGTTTAATGTGCATTGGTGTTTTGCCTGTGTGTATATCTGTGTATGAGTGTCAGATCCCCTGGAACTGGAGTTACAGTTGTGAGCTTCTGCCATGTGGGTGCTGGGAATTGAACCCTTGTCTCTGGAAGAGCAGTCGCTGCTCTTAACTACTGAGCTGTCTCTCCAATCTTCTTGTTTTTTTTTAAATATTTAATTTTAATCTTAGGTAATCTCCACAGTAGTTCAGTGAGGTAGGCACTATCACCCCTATTAATGAAAAAGAATGTCTATGTGATTAAGAGGCATAGCCTGCCCAGAAGATGGTAAACAGAAACTGGAACTCCGTGTCCAGCAGAGCCTGCTGGCCTTTTCTGCATTTGTAGCCAATGCACTACGTTGCCTTCTAGTAGTTGGGACTCCTTCAGTGTCCTAGAGTGAAGCGAGGTCTTTTGGTTCATACACGAGTCTCCAGCTAGGCTTTGCCATCAGACAGTTTGGATTCCCGTTCTTGCCTCAGCCAGTCTGTGGCCATTTTTCAAGTTTCCATTTCCTTAGCTCCATAACAGGAACAGTTACAGTTGCCCTATGAAGTTTTACTGTAAGTGTCCAAAAGGATGAAAGCATGATTCTCCTTGATGTTTCTAGCATGGGGGTAAATTTCAGACACATGTTGGAGGAATAAAGGAGTGAAAGATGCTTATAAAGAATGTGCCCACAGAATGAACTCACCATGGCTCACAGGGGCTCACAGAGACTGAAGCGACAATCGGGGATCCTGTGTGGGTCTGACCTTGGTCCTCTGCGTATGCTATGGCTGCATAGCTTGCTTTTCTTGTGGGACTCCTAATAGGAGTGGAGGGGTATTTCTGGCTCCTGCCTGCTCTCGGGACCCTTTCCCTCTAGTGGACCCTTTGCCTTATCCAGCTTTGATATGAGGGGTTGTGCCTAGTTTTACTGTAACTTGATATGCTGTGTTCGATTGATCTCTCTGGAAGGTCTGCTCTTTTCTGAGGGGAAATCGAGGAGGAGTGGATCTGGGGAAGAGGGAGGAATGGAGGGAAGAGAAACTGGTCAGGATGTAGTGTATGAGAGAATAATAATAATAATATATATATATAAATGGAGAAAACACAATAGGCTTTTGTTTACAATCAACTGTCAGAATATACTTATCAATGTTATGGCAGGGCTGATACATGAGTAAAGTTCAATTTTCATTTAAAAAAAGGTGCTCATGGAATCAACCTGTACTTAGAATTATCAGCCCATCCCACTCAAGCCCTCACAAAGCTCTTGCGGGAGGCATTTGATTGTGGGAATGGATGGAAGGCTTGGTACCGTGGAGGTGGCGATCCTTGTAGCTATGCTCATTTCTCAGGGAGGTTATCCTGTAGATAATGGGAAGTGAAAACATTCTGTTTCATGTTCCATATTCATTTCTATTTCATAGACATTTGTAGACAGAGTCTCTGTTACACCTGGTCCTGCAGCTGCACAGTCCCATACAAATACACAGAGGATTGTAATAATTACAAACTGGTCAACAGCCCAGGCTTCTTATTGGTTAGCTCTCTCTTAACTATTAACCCATTTCTATTCATCTAAGCATGTCCACACAGTCTAGGCTTACTGAAAAATGCCCAGCATCCTGTCTTCGCTACATGGCATCTCTCTGGCAGCTCACACTCTGTGTGTTTATTTGGGACTAAACGGCTGTGGGACCAGGGGGAATAGAAAGTCCAACTACAGACATTCCTCTCTGTTGCCCTTTAAAACAATCTGCTTGATAGCCACAAACATTAAAAAAGTTAACTGCACTTGTTGCCACTGAAGAATGGGCTAAACAATTAGTTGGCTAATCATGAGCATATCTGCTGCTGTGGGTAGAGAGTGACTTGCTCCACTTAAGAATGCTTTTAAAGTCTAGGCACAGGTTCTCACACCAGGACAAATCAGAGTGTGTTTCTGTCCTTGTGACTGTACTATTTCTCCATCTGGATGGCTGTCCTGAGTTCAAGAAGGCACGGAGTTGAGCATACCGATTTCATGGTGTATACACGGATCATTCTCACAGAAATGCAAGAACAACATGCTACTGTGGGCTCCGCAGTATGTTGTATTCCTTGGCAGGGTTATGGTTTCGCTTTATTCTATTAATGTCTGGAAAAGCCTACAGATAATCCAGTTTGCCAAGTATGTGGGTGGGTGAAAGATGTATATTCACAATCCTGAGACCTGCAAGAATTGTTTTTGGGAAATGGCTAATTAGACCTGCCTTTTTTTTCTTTCTAAAGCAAATGACATTTATACATCAAAGTGTCCACAGTGATGGACATGTGATGAATGTTAAGTCACAACAATTACATTTAATGGGAACTAATGGGTTGTCTTAGAGTATAGTCCTGACTCTCAGAGCTGCCTTCCCTGTTGTCCGCCCTATTCATAAGGCTCCCTGGCTGGACCTACTCACTGCAGCCCATCTGTGTGGAGTCACTTTGTTTTGACCTTTCTCCATGGCAGACTCTCCTTTCTTCCCTCATCTGTCAGTGTTGCAAACGTTGCTTTCACCACACCTGTTTTACATTCTTCCTGGAGAAGTCCATTCTTCCCTCCTTCTGTATTTATTGCATGCATGATTATTCCTCAATTCCTCCCATCTCCCTTTTCTTCTCAAGCCTTCTCTGTCTACTTCGTTTGGGAGCAGCTCTCCCACCAAGAGCACCCCTTCCTGCCTTTCCCTACTGTCTTATAGTCATCTGACCCAAATGATTAGGAGCCAAGGAAAACAAAAATATTGGAATGCAAGCAGAATATAGATCGAAACTCACTGACCATTCAAAGTTGCTTTGAGGGGAAGGATGAAAAGTCTGTAGTACCATCCGTGTCCCTTATCTGCCTCTCCATGCTCCCTGCTTATCTACTGTGTAGAAATATACGGGAAGAAACAGGCCAAGAAGCTTAACACATGATAATCTTTTGGCATTTGGTAGTCAGCATTCTCTCTAGCCTTGTTTGTAGAGAACTCAGAAAGCTAACTCCCTTGGTTCTTAGTGGGTCCTCAGAATGTTCAGAGCATCCATCTCACACCATAGCTGCCCCTCCCTGCCAATTCTCTCTTTGCAGCTGGAGCTGTGACATTGGAATGAAAAGGACAACAGCCTCAGGAAATGGTGGAGGCTGCTGTAGTGTGATGAAAAGGGAGGGGGTGGTGATGGGGTCAAAGAGGCCCTGAGAACAATTTCACCACTGCCACACTCTGGTTGTCCTAGGATACAGAGATGTTTTACATTGAGCACATAGGATGAGAGGCCAAACCCTGCATGCAGAAGGCACAGGCATTGACACTTCCCCACTCTTTGGCTTGAGCAGTGGGCCTGGCTCTATTAAACCACTAAGTTTAGAAACATGCTGGGTGGTGGTGGGCTCACGCCTTTAGTCCCTGTACTTGGGAGACAGAGGCAGGCAGATCTCTGTGAGTTCAAGGCCAGCTTGGTCTGTAGAGTGAGTTCCCAGACAGTCAGGGCTACACCCTGTCTGGGGGGGGGTTTGGGTGGGGGGTTGGGGGGAGTGGGGGTGGGGGTGGGATGGGGTGAGGATTGGGAGGTCAAGGAGACCCATCCTTTGAAAGAACAATAGGATACCTGTGGTGGAGGCAGACTGTATTTACATGCAATTCACCTCTTTTGTGTCTAAGAAAAGCCACCCAAAGAATCATTTGCTGGTAAATAAGGTCTGTGTGGCTGAAGCAGTGGACAGTGGGGGCGTGGTCTTGCCAAAAGCTGACTTTCTCCGAAGGTCTGTCTGTTGTCCAGAGTGGCAGCCACTTCGGTGAGCAAATAGGATGGTCATCTCTGCTCCTGAGGGAACTGCTTCAGGCTGGGGCCCCTTCACGGTGACTGGCTGTTCCTGCTTCCCAGAGGTGGCATGAGAGGCATTGTGTTTGGAGGGAGGAGGGCTGTAATTCTGGAATCTCACGGTTTTGACTTGCTGTAACATAGAAAGCAAAGGACTGTGGGTGAGATGTGTGAAAAGGGTAAATTCACTTCTCTTTTTTTGCTTTTTTTGAGACAGGGTTTCTCTGTGGCTTTGGAGGCTGTCCTGGAACTACCTCTTATAAACCAGGCTGGTCTAGAACTCACAGCAATCCACCTGCCTCTGCCTCCCAAGTGCTGTGATTAAAGGCGTGCACCACCGCCACCCAACAAGATTTCATTTTTAACAATTTAGGAATGAAGGGACCAGACCCTCACTCTGTCCCTGCTTTAGCAGCCATGACAGGCTACAGACACAAGGAAACTCCAACTGTTTGGCCACAAAAGAAACTCCAGGGGAGACCAAAACCTCCCCTGTAGTCTCCAGGATATAGTTCTGAAAACTATTGGTATCTATGTACAACAGGCCACCTGAAAGTAACAAGATGATGCCATAGAAACCACAGAATGTTCCTTCTCAGCACTGGTCAATGAGAATAATTGGTACACAGGTATTTCATGCCAAAATATGACTTTTGAGAAATTCTCCTGATTGTTCCCAAATGTCAACCAATCAGAAACCAACCTGAATCTACTGATGTAATCCTGTAACTTTTGTCTTTAAAACCTAGCAGTCCACTGCTGGTAGGAGTGCCAACTCGTACAGCCACTTTGGAAATCAGTATGGAGATTCCTCAGGAAAATGGGAATCAATCTACCACAAGACCCAGCAATTCCACTCTTAGGTATATATCCAAAAGAGGCAAATTCATACAACAAGGGCATCTGCTCTACTATGTTCATAGCAGCATTATTTGTAATAGCCAGAACCTGGAAGTAACCTAGATGCCCCTCAACTGAACAGTGGATAGAGAAAATGTGGTACATTTACACAATGGAGTATTGCTCAGCAGAAATAAACAATGGAATCTTGAAATTCGCAGGGAAATGGATAGCACTGGAAGAAACCATCCTGAGTGAGGTAACCCAGTCGCAAAAAGACAAACATGGTATGTGCTCACTTATATATGGATTTTAGACATGGATCAGGATAGTGCCAGTCTGCACTTCCACTGACAGAGAGTCAGGGAAACAGGAACGAACCTAAGAGATATGCATAGCACCCAAGAGATGAGGAATAAGGCAAGATCTTCTGAACAGATGGGGAACACGGTGAGGGGTGGAGGGAAGTGGGAGCTGGGAAGAAGAGAGGGGGAGAAGAGGAAGAGAGTAGGTCATGGGAAAACAGGAAGGTTGAATGGGGGGGGTTAGAATAGGGGGAAGAGGGAATCATAGGTTAGAAGACAGATCAGGCACCAGTGTGACCTCTAGTGATCTAAAGGGATGACACCAATTGGCAATCTAAGCAATAGTGGAGAGACCACCTCAAATGCCTGTTCCTGATAATGAACTTGATGTCTATAACCATCCTGGAGCCTTCATCCAGTGACTGATGGAAGCAGAGGCAAACACCCACAGTTAATCCCTGAACTGAACCCATGGAACCCAGTGACAGAGAGGGAGGAGCGACGAGCAAATTGGCAAAGAATGGGCTGGCAAAACCAGCAGAGACAGCTGATCTGAACAGGGGGAGAGCTCTTGGACCCCAGACTGACAGCGGGGAGGCCAGCATGGGACTGATCCAGACCTCCTGAATGTGAGAGTCAGTGAGGAGGCCTGGGCAAACTATGGGGCCCTGAGCAGTGGATCAGTGTTTATCCCTGGAATACAAACAGACATTGTGTGTCCATAACACAAAGAAGGATGCTCTCTCAGCCTGGACTCTTAGGGGAGTGCCTGGACCCTGCCCTGAGTGAAATAACAGACTCTAGATATCCCCTATGTGGAAGGAATTGGCAATAGGGTGGGAGGCTGGGGGGGATGTTGGGGGGGTGTGAGAGAAGGGGAGGGAGAGGGAACTGTGATTGACATGTAAAACAAGCTATTTAAAATTAAAATAAAAAATCTAAAAAAAAAAAAAAACAAAAAACCTAGCAGTAGACAGGGAACTTCACTTCCTCCAGAGGCTGCTGTGTCAGCTTGCTAGATGGGAGTCCCTGTCATGGTTGGATGAACAATTAAAACTTTGCTTTTGCATTTTGGTGGGTCTGTTTTCCTGGTGGTCTCTGAGGATCTTTGTGACTTGGGCACAACAATGTGTACTCTGTCCCCCACCCCTTGATAGGATTTGTGTCCCTTCTCTATGAGTGTCATCACTCATTTTGTGGTGTTCATTCAGCAAGCATTTGTGTCTACAGTGCCTTGTGTAATAAACCCTTTGAGGTGCTGTGGATCAGAGAGCGAACAAACCTACACTGCCCAATGGGGAATTATAACCAGTGCTGTGATGGGCGAAGAATAACCCGCTGACGCAGTGGCGTAGCATCTAGTAGGCAGCCAGGCAAGCCTTTCTTGAGGCAGAAGGGTTTGAGAATAAGGATGAATAATTTGGGAAAGACAGAGTCAGCAGTGGTCTTCACGAGGACGCTTCTGGAAAATACAGGTTCACCTCTCGCCTCTCCCCTCTGCTTTTCCTTAAAGTCTATCTCGAGGCCTGGCTCTTCCTCCTGAGTTCTCCCGATGACTCCTCTCCGAGCTTGCGGTCATTGCCGTAGAAATGCTCATCACAGAGCTGGTTCCCTGAGCACCTGCTGTTGCCATCTAGCCTTCGAGTGTTACCTGACTTCCCCATGCACAAGGCCACAAGACAAATATACTGGCCAACCAGCATTTCCTGTGTGTCTTTAAAACATGGAAGATTCAGAGTCAAGTGTGATACCGCAGGCATTTGGAGGCTGAGATGGGGATTGGGAGTTTGAGGCCAGTTTGAACTATATAGCGAAAAATCTGTCTCGAAACCAAAATAAAACTTAAATGAAAACATCCAGCATAACCTGAGATCTGGAACTCTGGGCCTGTGTCAATACTGGCACCACCTGGCTGAGCTGAGGAGTGTGTGAGACTGTGTCTCCACTTTGCTGGAAGCCCCATCACATTTTTCTTTATCTCGTGCCTCCTAGGTGATTATGTACGTATCTTGCTTGGCAATTGCGCGTGTTTGTTTTAGCCAGTCACTGTTTCAGGGCTTAATAAAATGTTCTTTCTGTGGTACTTCTGGAACTTACTTCTTTGTTCCATGAAATTCTCTCCTTTTTGTCTCCAAGTTTCCCCTGCTTTCTGATTTTTACTGTTTGCAGTGGGATCTTGAGACTTCAGAGTTTGGGGCTGCGTCTGATGACTTGGGATATTGGGTAGCTGGGGCATGGGATCCTTTAGATTGCATGAATGTTGGGAGTTGGAATGAACACTCCCAACCCTTCTGTCAGTCACCACAAACTTTTCCAAATGCATTTCCATACAAGCTTAGAGGAAAGAACCTGGGCTTTCGTGTTGGATGCAGATGTCAGCTGCATGGCTCTGGGCAATGTGGTTTAATTCCCCAAGCTTCTTTTCCTTCCTCTAAATGAGGATGGAAATAATACCTACCTCAGAGGGTTGTTACCGGGCCTTAATGGGATGGAACACATGGAGTTCTGTGCAGGGTGTCTGCTGGCATATCTAGTAGTTAGTAAAAGCATAACCAATAGGAGGAAACTCCATCCCCTCCGCTTTGTAGAGAGTGGGTAATGGTGCTGAGGATGGTGGTGACGGGGTGATGATTGATGAGTGTGGTGATGCTCAGTAAACTGAAGGATTGTGATGAGCATCCTCTGATTCCCTTAATGTTACCTTCTCCATTTCATCATCCCTCTTGCTTCAAGGACCTTAGAAAAATCCGTGTCTTCCTGCGCAGACTAGATGTTAACAGATCTGATTGATGCCATAATAAGTCAGCTGTTAGAATTACCATCCCATGTGACTTTGACCTCACTTAAATTCTCCCTTGTCTTAGTTGTTGCTGTCATCTGATGAAAATGTATCAAGCCCTGTGTAAATACTGCACATGTCTTACATAATATCATCTCCAAGCTCATGTATGGCCATTATTATTATTTAACTAACATTTTAGGCTTATTTTATGTATATAAGGTGTGTTTTGTTTGCATGTCTGTATGTGCACCATGAGTGTCCCTGCAGAGGTCAGAGGAAGGCATCAAATCTGGAACTGGAGTCGTGGGTGGTTGAGTACTAGGAACTGAAGCCAGGCCCTCACTAAGAGCAAGTAAGTACTCTTAACATCTGAGTCATCTCTCTAGTCCCTATACTACTATTTCTATGGGTCAGGCAAATAAGTAAGTAATGAATGAATAAACACAGCCCCAGAAGGGCAAAGTGTTTTGGCCAGAGCCACCTAACCAGAGCAGTAACTCAAACCAAGCCATGTTTTCTCTAAGCTGTTTCTGGATCACAGAAGAAGCGTGCATAAAGGGAATGAGGAGTATGTCTATCAGGGAGACGGTGTGCTTGGTGTGAATGCGGTGCAGTGTGTTGTGTGTGAAGATTTTATTGGAGGCTGCCAGCGTGGTTGGCAAATGTCCATGGTACGCAATGTGCAGAGGCTGAGGTGTCAGACTCCCAATGTCACTCCATTCCTACCTTTTCGACGCCATTTTTTGAGTTTTCTGGTTTCACTAGGATCGAGGGTGGAGCAGACGCAGGTGGCTTGGGTGGTGGCTCACTCTTGATGGGTATTTCTTTGCCTTCCATGATTAGGGAACTGGCTGCTGAGTGGATCCTGGTTTTGCTGCCTCTGCTGAGGCAGGTCAGGGCAGGCTCCCCAGTGGAAATGGGTTTAGACCCCATCTCTACTGTCATGGGTGTTGGGGAAGACGCCATGCCCTGTGGCTGGTAGAACTGGAACTTCTGAGGCCGAATCACCATGGTGGGACTGCGCCTGAGGGACCCCACCATGAAAGTGGGGATCCCTGTCTGGACCGGTCTCTGCAAGGATCCATCTGGGGGAAGACAGGACAGCATCAGCAATAGGATGGCTGACAGCAGGTTGCATGCGGGCTGGGTATGCAATGTGCCCGATACCCCAGAATAGATAGGGCTTTCCTAATGAGACTGTGCTCATGCTTGCTCTCACCGGGTCTTTCAAAGGTGGCCTGTTCTTTTCCTTAGTGCTGTTTGCCGTTGCTGGCAGCATGTAAATGTCTAGCTGAGCGCTGTGTGAGGTATCTGAAGGCATGCTGCTTCGGTTTACGTACCCCTCTTCCCAACCTTTCCCTTTCCTCTGGCCATTTAGGATGGCTAGGGAAAACAGACCCACGAGTCTGTTCACAGGAGAAGCAGACGCAGAGGCAGACAGGCCAAAGCGGAAGAAGGAAGTGAGGAACGAGGTGAGCGGACAACAGAGCAGGAAAGCTGAAGAGAGAGAGGCCGCTGGCGCCGGCTTGCTGAAGAAATTGTTACTAGAAACTAAGCGTGGGGTGGGGCAGCAGCTGAGCGCACCACCTGTACTCACTGTGGGTGTTTACTTCCAGCCCAGTGAAGGTTCTCAACCACAACACAGAGTGCGGATTGCATCTTACAAGGTACACAAGCTGCTAGACAGTGCCTGAAGTCACAGATGTTTGCTGGCTGTCACTATTAGTGAAGAACAGCGCAGTGTGCCCGAGCAATGTAAACGTCTAACGGTGTGGGTTTGGGCCTTACTGAGACAGTCCTTCCACAGTTAATGGAAGCCAAGTCCCCCCTAAGAGGCTCTAAGGAGGAGGTCCCATCCCTTAGGCGTAAGTTCTATAGGTGACCAAGGGAATGGGTCCTTGCCTCTGGATAAAAGACTAGGAGTTACTCCTGTGAAGCACTGTGGGCCATTCTCAAAGGGTCTCTATGATGATGGGCTTTCCTGACAGCTCTTACTGTTTTTTTGTTTTTGTTTTTGTTTTTTTTTCTTCAAGACAGGGTTTCTCTGTGTAACAGCCCTGGCTGTCCTGGAACCCACTGTGAAGACCAGACTGGCCTTGAACTCCCAGAGATCTGCCTGCCTCTGTCTCCCAAGTGCTGGGATTAAAGGTTTGTGCCACTACTGCTGGCTTGGACACATGTTTGAATTGGTCATAGAGGGCCTGAGCCAAAGCACACTGTGCTGTGGTTGTGACCCTTTACCAAGCAGGAAGTTTTTGTGGACAATGAGGCCATGTGTGTTCTCAGTTGCTGCAAGTGTATTGCCATTCTCTGAGTCTGACTTTTCTATTTACATGTTTGTTTTTTCACTGACAGGCCCCTGAGATGCATGGGACTTTGGAGAGACTGGCAGCTTGACCCCTCACCTTCATAAAAGGGAAAAAGGGGAGCTTCTGGAACTAGGGAGGGCAAAACCACACCAGGCAGACATGTCCTTGGCTCCCATGAATGTGGGGGGTATTTGGCTTCTTGCCTCTCTGGTTATCTGGTCAGTTTCCAATTTTCAAGAGTTCTTATATTCTCTTTATTGCATGTGCACACAATACAAGCAGTCAAAACTCCAGGTCAATCAAGAGTTGCACAGCAAAGAAGAGGCAGTGTATTAAAAACAAAACAAACAAAAAATGTGATCTATCATAAGTGGAATGGAAGTCTTTGTGTGGCTGAGTGGTCTAGACTTAGGGGTTATTTCAGTCCTAAACAAACTTGTGATGTGTAAGGACCAAAGACAATCTGTTTACTTTTAGCAGTAATGAAGTGACTTATTTACTAATAATTAAAGTTACTTTACCAAGAAAATAACTTTTAAAAATGTTCTCAAGAGCTTGTTATATGCTAGACATGGTATGGTTAGCTTATTAGTTAAATCTGATAGGGATACCATGCCAACATTGTGTAACACAGGGAGGGGTGATGAGGTGGGCAATATTATTTCCATTTTACAAATGAGGAAAATAAAGAGGACAGTGACTTGTGTAAGACTGTTATGGTAAATAATCAGTGGGGGGGCAGGAAAGAAGGGACTGAAGGCTGAAATAGGAGGTGCTAGTACATTAGACACTATGCAGGCTGTGAGATGGAAAAGACTAGGACAAGGAAAAGGACGCTTGCTTTTTCTTTTTCTTCTTTTGGTTTTTCAAGACAGGGTTTCTCTGTGGCTTTGGAGGCTGTCCTGGAACTAGCTCTTGTAGACCAGGCTGGTCTCGAACTCACAGAGATCCACCTGGCTCTGCCTCCTGAGTACTGGGATTAAAGGCATTCGACATCACTGCCCAGTTGACTCTGGCTTTTTTGTCACTGGTGACTGTCCCTTGTGGCATACTGTCCTTTGTGCTAACCTACCCTGCAGGGCTGTATCTCATGTTTAAATGTTTGTTGGGATGGCTGGAGAGGCGGCGGGGCCACTTTTAAGTCAGGGATGCAGAACAAATCAATCATCTGTCCCACACTTGGGTTGTGACAGGAAGGAAACCTCCTTGTTTTATACAATGAGGTTTCAAGATCATTTCTGAATCCCTGCACATGAGATGTCATGCGGAAGTTTATATATTGAGTTATTAACAACAGCATGGTATTAGTGATAGATTTGCACGTACTGCTGTGTGCTCAATGTGGATGTTATATAGGGAAAAAAGCAAGTCATGGAGCAGTGCACAGAGTGTGATCGGAAGGTGTCTATCAATCTTGAAAAATCTGGACCTGGTTAGGGTTCAGGATGTGAGTTTTACTTTTGCATAACTTAAAAGGGAGCTTCTCTGCATGCGTTACATACACAGGATAGCAGGGAACAGGGGTTCTGAATTCTGTCTCCAGAATCTTGACTTCTAACCCCCAGCCCCTGCCCATTCAGGGGGTGTCACCAGAACACAGTCTGAGAAGTACCAAGCCAGCAATATCAGTTGCTGGCTGGTCTTAGTAAGAAGCAGCTCCCCGTGGCTACAATCCAATTACGTGCTGCCTCACAGTTTAGTACCCCCCCCCCCATTTACCACGTCCATATGAATGGACCCAGACGGTGACCTTCGGTTGTTCTAGGCTATGCTCAACAAAAACACTCGTCCCTTGGGACTTATCCTTTGCAAGAGGCTCATCTCAGATCCAGTTACTTTTGTGGAAAGCTCACGGTGTGTCCCAACTGGAAGCTCTGCATCCAGCACTTACCTCTGTACCACAACTTACTCTTTCTCATGCTGCTCCGTCCTTTCCGAAGAGACCCTTGTCCCGAAGTCCCTGGGCCAGGTGTGCTCCCTGCAGGGTTAACCGCGGCAGTAGGCACAAAGACAGATTTGAAGGGTCTGCTTTGCCGGGGATCACCCTCTGAAAAACTACCTTGGGAGGACACAGAGGAGGTGGGTAACGCCCATGTGGTGTAGACAGTGGGACTCCGGGAATCTGGAAAACCAGACGTCTTTCTAGCTGTTGAACTGTTTTTTAAAAGAGAAGAAATGGAGAAAGAAAATGTTTACTAAGAGTCCTCTGTCTCTTTTTTAAATAGCTCCCAACCATATGAATGCAGTTACTCTTAGGCATCCATACCTGCTCTTCTGTCACCCGCAGACCTCCCTGCACCTTAGTCTGTGGGTCCTGACAGCAGGGAGGAGAGCTCATGAGGTCAGAACGTGTACCCCCAAACTTCATTCTTCCCTATAGCTCTGATCACCCCTCCTCCCCCCACTCCTTAAGTCCAAGGGCACAGGCCTTACATGAGCTCACTGTTCTTTGCTTATTTTGTTCATTAAGTCTTTGTTTATTCAGTAGCTTTCCCATTGGGTGCTAAACCGTTTGAAGGTGATGGTTTCTAAGGCTTATTTTACAGCCTCTGCATTCTGCATGTACTGCTGTTTAACGTGTGTGTTGAATGGCGACCTCCATGCCTTCGGCACTCCTTCTAGTCATTTTGGTTGGCATATGTTGAATGCTTATGGTAAGCCAGATGCTGGCCGATACTTCACAATTTTTTTTAGAGAAAAATGCCGATCAGGAAGTCAACCAGCCTGCTATCTTTTTCTTTCTTTCTTTCTTTCTTTCTTTCTTTCTTTCTTTCTTTCTTTCTTTCTCTCTCTCTCTCTCTCTCTCTCTCTTTCTTTCTTTCTTTCTTTCTTTCTTTCTTTCTTTCTTTCTTTCTTTCTTTCTTCCTTCCCCCTTCCCTTCCTTTTCTTCTTCTTTCCTTCCTTCCTTTCTAATTTTATTTTTATTTCATGTGCATTGGTGTTTTTGTATGTCTGTATGAGGGTGTGTGTGTTCAAGTACGTCTGTATGAGGGTGTCATATCCCCTGGGACTGGAGTTACAGTTGTGAACTGTCATGTGGGTGCTGGGGATTGAACCCGGGTCTTCTGGAAGAACAGCAGTCAGTGCTCTTAACCACTAAGCCATCTCCCTGGCCCCTACTTCATTAATATTATGTAAGTTCTTCTTAACAGGTTTCCAAGACAGCACCCCTATGGCTATGGCTCTATAGATACAAAAATTACACAGAGTCTATGGGACTGGAGAGAGTGATCAATTGGTCAAGTGCTTTCCATGAAACTATGAGGACCCAAGAGCAATCTCCAGCACCCATGTACAAAAAGTCAGCCGTGGTAGTGGTGTCTTGTGATCCTAGTTCAGGGGAGTTGGAGACAGGCAGATCCCAGAGCTTGGTGACCAGCCAGCCTACCCAAATTGTTGAGTTCTAGGTCCCAGTGAGAGACCCTGGCTCAAAAGACATGGTGGATGATTCTAAAGGAATGATGCTTGACATTGCCTCTGGTCTTCACACACACTGACACATACATGTGTTTTCTCTTACACACACACACACACACACACACACACACACACACACACACACACACTTGAGGGGAGGGGAGATTGTCAGACAGAGACTCATGGTTGCTTGGCCAAACAGCTATCAGACTGGAGGTTTAAACCAGATCTGAGCCAGCTCTCTGCCCTACTTCTGAACTATATCAACTCCGGGGCTAGTTAGAGAAACGGAGAACATTTGTCCGCTTTGCACCTGAAATAAACTAAGGTAGCTGGCAGCCCTGCAGGAACTTTGTAAGACACTAATGCTTCAGCCATGGGCTGTAATGTCATGAGCAGCACTAAAGTGCTATAAACAAATTCATGGCCACTATTTCCAGTCTGTAACCCTTATGAAGTACATGGTAGTAGCTGTTACTCGACATGCCTTTCTCTCCCTCTCAACTGATCCAAACCTGGCCTCCTGTCTCCTACGTGCAGCCTATCAATCACTCTGTCACTCTGTTGATTAAATAGCCCCTGATAATTTCATGGAAATACGAACTCCACCAGGGCTCTGGTGTGGAAAACCCTCCAGGTGTCCTACTCCCCAGGGCCCTCCACGGTTTTCTTTAGGCTGTTTCTTCTCATTCTTCCTCTATTCTGCTTATTAAGAAACTACAATGTATATGATAATAATGAGCCAATGTTGCAAGACGATAGGCAAGCTATTGTTGAACTGTGGCCAATGGTACTCAAGAAACATAGGCCGCCAAATGCTCTAAGGACTGATACCTGCAGTAAGGGACCTTGCAGCCATAGCTGTCAACCTGCTCTGGTCCCATGGTGTGGTCAACAGAGAGTGGAGTAATCGTCAGCGAGAAACACGGCTGTATTCTAGACACAAGGCCTAGGCAGTGAAGAAGATCCCCAGTGACTGGCTTCCATAGCAGAGTACAGCTGGTCTGTCTTTTGAACAAGAGGCCTCTAGGAGCTACCTGCTGAAAGTGCATCAGCAACAGGCAAGACTAGCTCCCCAATTGTTTCCAGCAGGAGCAACAGAAGCAAGGACAGAATACAGCTAATTAGGCTCAAGTCAGTCTTAGTCCACCAGCGCCTTCTTTGAACGACTGTTTATGGCACCAGGTATACGCTCAGCACTGGGCTTGATTCCAGGAACTCCTAAATTGTGATTTTCCCATCCAATGCTGACTCCCTCTGTGTCTTTTGGCAAAAAGCTTAGCACTTACCTAGCATTTTCTTCTAACATCAAAACACTTTCCTAACACGGATTAATTAATCCCCAGGAAACCCCAAACCTGAAGACATTATGATCCTTGTTTTCAAGAGGACACTGAAAGACATTCTGGGCTTAGGTGGGAGGAGTGGATATTCTGGTTTGCTCTGCTAACAGGTCCCTGTGTCCCTTTCTGTCTGTGATTTTAGGCCTTACTCTATTTTCAAGGAGAGCATTCCACCTAGCAAGTCTGCTGGACTTGCCATGGGAAACAGCCTCCTGCTAAGGAGAAATGTCACACCTTGGCCATCTTTGTAGCATCTGGCCAGGCAGTGATGGCTCCTTGTCACTTCCTTCCACTCATCAGGTACCACGCAGCCATGCTTGTCTGTGAAGGCTACAATAAATAACCATCCTGCCTAGTTATGTAGAAGGGGATTTGTTGGGAGGATAGAGCCAGGTGGAGAGGACCTGGGAGAAGGATGCAGCTGAAGGCTCAGTGAGGGTCTGAGCCAGGAGGAGTATGGATCAGATGTTGCTGCTGACCTCACCATAAGGACCTCCAGCTTCCCTGTATCCTTTCCTCTCCAGATCCTGTTTCAAAGTCCCGAGTAGGACTGAAGTATTGGCCAAGCTAAGCTGGCATGGTGGCACACATCTGTAATCCTAGCACTTGGGAGATGGAAGGAGGAAGACAATGATTTCTATTGCTGTGAAGAGACAGGACTACAGACAGCAACTCTTATAAAACCTTTAAATGGGGCTGACTTACAGGTTCAGAGGTTTAGTTCATCATTATCATGGGGGCATGCAGGCAGACATGGTGCTGGGGAAAGAGCAGAGAAAACTACATCTGGATCCTCAGGCAGAAGGAAGAGAAAGATGCTGGGCCTGGCTTGAGAATTTGAAACCTCAAAGCCCACCCCTAGCGACCCACTTCCTCCAACAAGGCCACACATACTCCACCAAAGTCACACCTTTTAATAGTGCCGCTCCCTGTTCGTCTACAGGGGGCCATTTTCATTCAACCCCCCACAATATGGAACTCAAGGTCAGCTTCACCTGTACAGTAAGTTCATGATAAATCTGGGCTACATGAGACCACGTACCACCAACCCACAGGAAAAGAAAATTAGTTGTGGATGGGATGAGGGAGTTGAGGACCACCACCTACTGAGAGCACACTGAGAAAGACTCAAGTGGATGCTGGTACTGTTAAAAAGCGGTTTGGATGCTGGACAGATAGACACTTGACATCTGCTCTGTAAACCCTGCGTATGTCTTCAGGGGCAGAAGAGGAGAGACTTCATGGAAGCTATGGCTAATAAAAACTAAACACGCTGGTAGCTGGAGTGTTTTTTCCACTATGGGCAGTTAGAAAGACTCACTTAATTGAATTTTAAATGGAAACCTTGCCATTTTGGTCAAGTTTTTCTTTCTGGAGACAGTCTTTTTATGTAGCCCTGGCTGGCTTGATACCTGCTATATGTCCCAGCCTTGTCTCAAACTCATGCCAATCCTCTTGGTCTCCCGGAAGACTAGGATTGTAGGCATATGCCACAATGCCCAGCTCTGGTCAGTTCTCAGCTATAGTTAATCCATAAACTCTGTCTCAGTTTGTCAGGGCATGATGCTATAAAAGCAAAAGTTTCAGTGCCCAGGGGACACCTCACATCTCTGCTCTCTGGGCTGTTGGCATTATACACCATGGGAGCTAACGACACTACAGGTTTATCATCGTAAATAGGGGTGTCAAAGAGCAGAAAGGAGCCTGCTCTCCAACCTGCTAGGTTCTCATGTAGAACTTGGTAATAGCAGAAACCAAGATGACAAAGGACAGCATTTTTTAGTTCTGAGAAGTGGGAGGATGAAATGTAACACAATGGAAGGATGGGTGTACCCAGCCGGGCAAATTTGGCAAATGTCATTCACCTCTAAGGTTAGTAAGCACAGGAGCTTCCTTTATATGAGAAATGCCATCAAGGAAATAACACTCAGATTCTCTCTAACCTGACAGCACTTAGGAACAGAGATACTTGTTCTTGGGAATGCCACTTCCCCACAATAAAACCATGCCCCAGCCTTAAAACCTCGTGATCTAGAGTGATCTAGAGTTCAGGTTTCTGTGGACTTGGAGACAGGCTCAGCTCACTGTCAATCTGTGGAGCTGGTACCTCACCGCCGAGTGGTGTGCAGCCATTTCAGAGGGGTGAGCACAGCTATGCACGGCCTGCTTGAGGGCAAATGGGCGTCTACTCAAGAGAAAACCAAGGAAGAGAGAATGGAAGCAGGAGTATGGGGAGGCTGGAATCCCACATGCACATGGTGGCCACACATCCCGCGTATCCCAGGACACTGAGGGCTTTCCTCAGTTTATACCTCCTCAAAAATGCTCACGTAGGGATGGCAAATATATGATCACTCACTGTCATACTAATCCTCTGATGGCTCATCCAGGACTCTGGGGTAAGCCTGATATGTAAGCAAAACTTTGGCAGTCAGCATGGGTCCTAGACTACTTAGGTCTGATCCCACAGGAGATAGGCATCCTCCTTGCCCCTCACTGCCCCCTCACGGTCGTTCTGAATTCTTTTCACCATCTTCCAGCTCCGGTTCATCTCACCGGACTGTACCACCCATGGCAGCTGTTCAATCTCCTACCCTCTAGGTCTGCCTCTCCTCTTATTCCTCGAGGATTTTAGCTCTGGCTCCCTTATTAGTCTCTTGACATCTCATCACACCACAATGATCTCATCCAATCTCGTCTAATTAACGGCTTTAAATAGCATCTCAAGACCAGGGCTCTCTCTTCAGTGCTGGATGTGTATACTCAGCGGCTCACCAGCATCTTTCTTGTGTTACTAATAGGCACCTCATACTTAATCTGCTGTGAGGTAAGGTGTTTGCTTGCCCACAGCTCAAGCCCATCTGCTAGTGTTTTCATCATTGTCACCCTAATAAAAGAGCAAGCTCTTTTTGGTTAACGGGACGGGGGTTGGGGGGAGAACCTCACATTCACCTTGACCCCGCAATCCTGTCACACCTGGTACTTAATGTCAGAAAACTGCTGATGCTCTAGCTTTAAGGTATTTGTGGAATACACAAATCTTCAAACTACAACCACATATGCTGACAACATGATGACTTACCCTCTCCATAGGATCGTAATGGTATTCTCTTAGCTAGCTTTTCTGTCTCTACTCTTTCTTCTCTACAGTTTATTCTCAACCCAGCAAACAGAGATATTATGGTTAAACATAGGTCAGATCGTGTTTCTCTTCTGCTCAAAACTCTGCTGTGAAGTTAAAATCAAACCCTTCATTATGACCTAAGAATTCTAGATGACTTGGCCCCATTTGCTATTCTGACCTCACCTTCTATTGGTCTCCCCCCTCATATACTCATGTCCAGTCTGGTTGGTTTTCACGTCAGGAACATCCCTACCCCAGGGCCTTTGAACTTGCCTGGAATGCACTTTTCTTCAAGATCAGCTTGGTTTGCTTCCCCGTTTCCCTCGTTCTCTTTTTCCCCAGAAAGACTGAATCCTTACACACAGATGCAGGTGCATGCGTGTGTATTTTATTTGCTAATATCTCCTCAGGTCCAGGAAAGGCATGCTATCTGACATAGAATTAACATTAAGGGACTGGAAAGATGGCTCAGCAGTTGAAAGCATCGCTTGCTCTTGCAAAGGCCCTGAGTTTGGTTCCCAGCAACCATATGGTGGACCACACCATCTGTAACTCCAGTACCAGGAGATCTGGTGCCCTCTCCTGGTCTCTGAGGGCACCAGATCTGCACACAGTGCACATGCATACATGCCGGCAAAAAAAAAAAAAAACCTCACACACATAAAATCTACAAAAAATATGTCTGAAGAGGTGGAAGCATCAGTTACACATACTTTTAGTTTGCCATTCTTCCGTCAAATTCTAAGTACCTTACACTGAAAGGAATAGCTATGATGTCTTCTCAACTTGTCACATTAAAAAAAAAAGAAAAAACAAACTAACAAACCTCAGAACTTTTCATACTGCGGTCCTCGAGGACCTCTTCTTTGCCTGTGTTCTTCTAGACAGGGGTCCTTCTACCTCACCCCCCTCCTGCCCCGCTTTCCCCTGTTGCTGCCCAAGGGCTCAGACTAGCTTCTGACACATGTAGTCACTCACAATCCCTTTGGCCTCTGTTTTCCAGAGGCCAAGCCACCCTACTTTATCAGTGTCTTCCATGCAGTCCTTCTTTTCTCACCATCGTGGCTGCCCTCCTCCTCCTCCTCCTCCGGACACGGCGCCCCACCTACAGGAAGGTCTGCCAAAGTGACGGCAGGACTTGGGCGCTCAGAGTCTCTCACTTTCCTGGAGGTTGTGACCCTTTGATATGTCACAAAGACAGGGGTTGGTGGGCGATAAGGGCCTTGCTGCCTCATAGCTGGGCGGGTCTGGGAGGATGTGCACAAATGTATGGGTGCAGTGTGAAGAAAATACTGGACAAACTGCATGCCAGCGGCACTGATGACTGTGTCACGGGGAAACGGGGAAAGCTGGGGGTTAGGGCTCCTTCAGGGTACCTGGTCTTTGATGCCAGGACATGGCTGGAAAAGTATCATTCAGAATCCATGGAAATTCTGCCTCATACTTGAGTATCCTGAGAACCTTCCTAAGATGCCCCAGGGAGGCATTTGGTCACATTTTCCAATTAGCCGGTCAATGATACTGTTTTGATGTCAGATGCGGTGTGGAAAGTCTGGGACTCGGCAGCAGAAGGCCTCAAATGCAGTCCTAAGCAAGCCCTTTCACTTCATATCAGTGCCTTCATCTGGAGAATAACACAGGCCAGGCTCTTTAAACGAGGCAAAGCTGGGCACTGTGTTTCACAGCTGTAGTCCTAGCACCTGAGAGTCTGAGGCAGGAGAACTGTGAGTTTGAGGCCAACTTGGCTAAGTCTCAGGCCAGCCTGGAAATACACAGTGGGACCTCTGTGGGGCAAAGTTACAAATATTTTGTGTGTAAGTTAATGGGTTACAAAGGCAAAAGCTATTTCTTGGCTTTTGCTCTGAAAAGGCACCGAGTCCACGATGAGTTCAACCCATAGAAAGGCCTTGGAGATGTACCTGAAAACGGGGATGACGTAGTCGCTTGGGAAGATGCCAGCTCGCCCCGTGACTAAGGAGAGACCCCTCAGCCAGCCATCTTGGTACTTCCCCAGCACCTTGATGCCTTCTCCCTTCTGCAGGTCCAGCTCATCGGGTCCGTGGGCTGAGTAGGAGTGCAGAGCTACAAACCTGGAAACACAGGAGCTCGTAAGGGGATTGGAGCATGCCTGGGGAGGCCATAGAGCTGATGGAGGACTGGGGAGGCCAGTCACTATAGCTCACCCGCCAGCGCCTAGCAACAAAAACCATTAAAAATGGAGACTTAACCACGGAAGATAGCACTGGAACAAGCTGGCTGAAATGCCAGTGAATACCCTGCCTTCGTAGGCCAACATGGGCCCGGTGACAACGGGGAGCTGGCCTCCAGCACGGAAGAGACTTGAAGGGCAGGATCAGTGTGCAACGGTCTACCTTAATGCTTTCTTACTACTGTCGGCTGCCGTTCTGCAGACGGCAAGGCTCAGGGAGACAGGTCATCACAGAAGCCTCTACTAAATTCCTTTTGGACTGAGTGTAGGGGTTGTTTGACTTCTAGGAATGGCCTGGGAGATAGCTGGATACCAACTGGAAAGTATACATTGGGAAGTAGGAGACAGGGGTGATTATGTTTATTTCTGCACATAATGATTGCACTGGGTGGACACCAGGTGGAGGGGAACGTGTTTGTGTCATGCAACACTGAGCGAGGAGAGAAAGACACACAGGAGTCAAGTAGGCGGCATCCAAGAGTGAGTCATGGTAGCGAGGATAACAGGGAACAGTGAGGCTGAGGCTGAGGACATGAGAACAGCTGCCTTATGAAAGGCATTAAAGAAAGAACTTCATTGCCTTGCTGGATTTGGAGTCACCTCAGCCAGGCTTGTCCAGGCTTTTGACATTGTGACACGATGTTGTCATCTACAAAATTTATGAGCCAGAACTGTATAGTTGAGTTTACAAAAAGTTAAAAAGCAAAAATAGGTCTGAGAATGTTTTAAGTTAGCTTCGGATTTTGTGTCGGGCTGCATCCATAGCTCTGTCTGGTCTCATGGGGGTGTGTAGGCTGCAGGTTGGACATGCCCGGCAGTCCTTTGAAATCCTAAGGACTGTGAGACACCCCTAATTTGTTATCAACGTGGACCTCATTTGCATGTGTTTTGCTATTTATTGTTTTTAGTGACTATAGTAAGTAAATGCTCATTCATAACCTGGTATTTTAAACCCGAAGAGAATCAATAAAGATTGCTCAGTATCCAATCTCCCCGCAATGCCGTAGTTTCTCTTCTGCATTTTTCTTACCCGTGCTATCACCATCAGTGGTGGAAAAGGAGGGGGCTGGTTAGCTGTTTGGATGCTATGGTTTGGGTGTGGAGACTAGATGACAAAGGGTTACAAAGATGAAATCTCTGAGCCAGAAGCTGGAGGAGGGGGTGCTGAGCTTTTTACTCACATGTTAGCTGAGAGGTGTTGCTGGGAGCTGGGCACCCTGACCACGGCTGTGGAATGTCCTGGGGAGGCAGGTGCAGGGTGAGGAGTGCTGACCTACACAGACAGAAGAGACAGCCAAACAGAACCGGTGAGCACCCCAAGCCAGATATGTGAGCAAGTCACAGAGCAGCTTGACACAGCTGAAACCCAACAGCCATGCCCAGCTGTTGTCCACCCAAACATTTCTCTACTTGGTGGCTTTGGGTAGACTGGGGTGGAGCAGGTGTCTTATGGCCTGTCCAGGTAGTGTTCCTGGGCTGAGCTCTCAAAGGAGTCAAGATAAGAACAAAATAGGGCAGGAACCTGCAGGCAGGAGCTGATGCAGAGGTCATGGAGGGGTGCTGCTTACTGGCTTGCTCCCCATGGCTTGCTCAGCCTGCTTTGTTATAGAACCCAGGAGATGATACCACCCACAATGGGCTGGGCCCTCCCCAATCAGTCCTACAGGCTTTCCTACAGCTCTGATCTTATACAGGCATTTTCTTAATTGAGGGTCCCTTCCCTCAAACAACTTGGGCTTATGTCAAGTTGACATAAAACTACCCAGCACAGTTGACGCCTTCTCAGCCTGACACACACAAAGACATCATTGTTGAGCCACAACCTTTCATTTTATGTTCCTCTCTGAGATGACATATTAATATCACTATCACAATATAGGACATTTTACAAACTTAAAATGTTCCATAGACTTTATAAATCCAAACACTTTAAAGTTTAGTATTTTTTTGAAAAGTCTCTTTTACAGCCTAAAATCTCTTAACATTTAATCTCTCAGCTGTGGGATCCCATGAAATCAAAAATAAATTAGATACATTCTTACTTTAAGAATGAAATACCAGGGCACAGTGGCAATTAGATCAAAGCAATGTCTAATATCTGGGCTCACCCACAGTCTTCTGGGCTCCTTTAGAGAACTCCAGTCACTTGTCTATCTCTGCCCTCTGTATCACACACAGCTTGTCTTCCAAGCTCTGGCAGGACTCATTCCCCACAGCGGCCACTGTTCTTGGTGGTCACCCCAAGAACTGGCACCTCTAAAGTGCTGGGGTTTTCTGCTGCAGCTGGGCTGTGCTTTCACCAATACCCTCTCACAGTCTCTCTTCGTGGTGCCAAGCCTCAGCTTCTCTGCATGGCTCCTTCAATCCTGGGTCTTCACCAATGGCCTCTCCTGGCCTCTCACAGTGCCAAGCCCTAGCTGCTCTCCAAGATTCCTTCATGCTATAAACCCAGCACCTCTGAGTGACCCCTTAACACATCACCAAGTTAGGCTACCAGCTCCGGGTACAACCTTGGCCACCTCTGGAACACAGCTTCTGTGTGCTCTCAGGAAACGCTTTCCAGAGGATTTCACCTCAGTGATGCCGGTCTCTTCTTAGTCACTACTTTCTCAGCTCCCGCTGACCAGCATCAATTATACCAGTAAGCCAAGGGTGAATTAGTGGTTCTGGTCTCCAGTTAATCACAGCCAATTCTTCAGCCCCAGCTAACCAGAGCCACGGATTCTTCATACAAATGGCTTGGTAGAATCTTTGTTTCTGCCCTAAACTTCACAAACCAGGCCTTCATTGTCTGCACTGCTCTCAACTTTCTTGTCTTCAAATCTCTGATAAAACAGCTCACTGAACTCACAGTACGGAATGGTTCCAGAGTTCCAAAGTCCTTCTACAGCCCTACCCCAAACTTTGTCAAGTCTGTCACAGCAATATCCCATAATCCTGGTATAAACTTTTGTCTTAGTTTGGGTTTTATTGCTGTGAAGAGACTCCATGACATTTAATTGGGGCTGGCTCACAGGTTCAGAGGTCTAGTCTATCATAGTTATGCCAGGGGGACATGGCAGCGTGCAGGCAGACATGGTGCTAGCCAGGTATCAAGGTTCTACATCCGGATCTGAAGGCAGCAGGAAGAGAGCAAGCCACTGGGCCTAGCTTGGGTGTATGAAACCCAAAGGCCCACCCCAGTGACACTCTTCCTCTAAGAAGGCCATACATACTTGAACAAGGCCACACCTCCTAGGCACTCAAATATATGCGTCCATGGGGACCACTCTTATTCAAAGCACCACACCTTCCTCTACGCCTGCATCTCAGCCACGCGATCTCTTGGGCCATGCTGTTCGTGTCATTTACTTCTCACCTCTTTCTTGTTAACTTCCATTTTCTATTAACAACCTAAACCATAAATACATCACGTGCACAGCAAGTGTATGAATAATTTTATGCGTCACTTACATAATAGCATAGGTGATCCGTACCACTCAACCCAGAATACAGAGGGAAATTGGTTGTTATACTTAGCAGCTCTCTGCATCTTTCTCAATAACCACAGTCCCCTCCCTGTAGAGCAGCAGTTCTCAACCTGTGGGTTATGACCCTTTGGGGGGTCACATATCAAAGGGCCTGCATATCATGTATTTATATTACGATTCATAACAGTAGCAAAATAAAGCCAAGTTGTGGAGTAGCAATGAAATAATTCTGTGACTGGTGGTCACAACATGAGGTAGCGTTTCAAAGGGTCGCAGTATGAGGAAGGTTGAGAACCACTTCACTAGAGGCAACTGCAGTGCTGAATGTGTGCTAATCACTCCAGGACTTTTCTGCGTAGTTTCTCCCAATCTGGCACACATCCTTGCACATTTGGCTCTGTTTTGTCTGCTGTGAACATCATATAAATGACCATGCAGCAAGTGCATCCTGTGACAGGGAGGTTTGCTATGTATTTGTGGCTCCTGTCTCGTATTTCATGGCAGGAATATACCACCATGGGACTACTGTGTCGTTTATTTGTCATTTGGGTGGCTTTTAGTTTGGGGCTGTTACGAACAGTGTTGCTGTGAACATTCCTGTACATGTCCCCTGTGTCCACATACAAGAGTTTCTCCAGGATATACACCTAGGAATGGAATTGATGGGCCGTAGGGTAGGAGCCTGTTCAGTTTTATTAGGTAGTAACAAATTGTTTCCCAGTGTGGCTGTAACAATTTACACGTCTGCCAGCGACTAATGACAATTCCTGTTATTTTAGAGTCTTGCCAGCATGAGGTAACACACAGCTCTTTAGTATCTGCTTCTGTGGTGGTGTGAAATGCTAACTCATTGTGGTTTTACATTCATGTCTCTGAAATGCCAACGAATTTCAGTTTATTCATTTTCCCTGTTTTCAAATATTTACCAACCATTCTGATTACATGAAATACCTGTTCATATCCTTTCTCTCTCCAAAGCCTTTGGGCTATTTATTATTTTCACATTAAGTTGTGGAATTCTATTGTCTTTTGCTATAAATCCCTTATAGCTTGTATTTTTCCCCCATGGTATCTTTTGATGGACTGAAGTAATTATATAATATTTTCCCGTACAGTTCTCACTTTTGAAAAATCTTGGCTAAGGTGCCTTTTAATCTCAAGGTCATGAGGTACGCTTCCATATTGCCTTCTGAAAGTTTTATAGTTTTACCTTTCATATATAAGTTCTTTTGTCCTCATGGAATTGATTTTTGATGAGGGAGGAATCCAATTTCATTCTTTTCCTACATGGATACCCAATTAGCCCAGCGTCAGAGCTCATTCTTCCCTTCTGACCAGTGGAGCTGTTTGCCATAAATCACATCTTCACACTGTCTGTTTCCAGGTTTTCTAGCATGCTCTAATGGCTTAAAAGAAGCTGGAGAGAACTATTAACACAGATCCGACTTAGCTTTAACAGAAGCAACAATATCTGATCAGCAGGCCTTGAGCCTTGCCCCAAACAACCCCCCCCCCTTCTCTTTAGAAGTCTCTTTGCCTTTGGCTTTTCATTGCTCCTTCTGAACCTTAGAGTTCCGGTTTGTGTTTCAGGAAAACGAACTCTAGAGGTATTGAATTTGTGGATAAATTTGGGGCGGGGGGAGAGAATAACAATAACAACTTTAAGATATTGAAATGTGGGTGTGATGGCACATAACCTATAATCCCAGCACTCAGGAGGACAGAAGGATCATGATTGAAAGCCAGTTGAGGCCTCTCCTCAACTTTCCTCCTATCCCCTCTCCATCTCCTCTTTTCCTCTCCTTCCTTATATTATTTTTCTATACTGTGTTTTCTCTGTGTCATTTAAAATGTCACAGAAGTTTTCTTCTATAACTGTTAACACGATCTACTAGTGGAATTAATTTTATTTCCCTTTTTATTTTTTTTAATTTTATATGCATGGGTGTTTTGCTTTCATGTCTATGCACTGTGATCATACAGTTCCCTCAGGGGTCAGAAGAGGGCATCAGATCTTCTGTAACTGGAGCTACAGAAGAGATGTTAGCTTCCATGTTGGTGCTGGAAATGAACGCAGATCCTCTGTATGAGCCATTTCTCCAGCCCCATGCTATTATTATTATTTTTTAATTTTAATAGAAAGAATATCCAAGTCCTTACGAAATACAGAGAGCTTTTTCATGTTTGGAAGTGTTTAAACATTATTTCCTCAAAATTGTGAAAGAACTTAAATATACACCTGTCAGTGTTTCAATTTTTTTGTTTTGTTTTTCTTGTGGAAATTCAATTCCATTCCTTCCTTAATGTCACTATTTCTTTTCTGTCTGAAAGGGTTTGGATATGTAGCCTATACTGGCCTCAAACTCAAGACAGCCCATCTTGGCTTCCACATGTCAGTGCTGCTGGCATGTACCATCACACCCATCTTCATTCATTTTCTTTAATGGTTATATTATCTAAAAGGTGTCCAGGATGCCATGCACATGCATACTCTTATATCCAACACACACACACAGACACGCGTGCGGGGCGTGCACGTGTGGAGGAAACAAGTTACTTTGCACAATGGAGGGTGCTTCATATCATACCTAGTTCATAGATGGACCCAGTAAATTTTACTATTGTTTACCATCTTGAAGTCGAAAGCAAGGCTAGGGAGACATGAAGCAAAAAGAGGCAGGCTGGAGGGCTTTCTTAGTAGGACCAAATGTTAACAGGAGATTTGTTTCTAAGATCCAAGAGTCAATCATAGTAGATCAAATTCCCTTACAGAAGACCCAGTGATGGGCAACTGGCCTTCAGT